AGTTGGGGACCGGGATGGGGACGAAGGGGTCCAGCGCGTCGAACCCTTCCTGGGAAGGAAAGCCGAGGGTGAGAGCCCGCGGCGCCCGGGCGTCGCCCCCTCCCTGCTGCGGGAGTCGCCTGGGAGAGGGCCCAGCCCGGCTGCGTTAGGAGCTCGAGCAGGGCTCATTCGAAGGAGAATAAAGGAGTACGTGGTCCGGAGAGAGACTAAAGCCAAGTCCCGCCACCCTGACCGGAACGCAGAGCCCGACCCGGGACTTCTCTTTGTTTCCCAACGCGAAGGGGGAAAAAGAAAAATAAAAAGAGGCCAAGACTCACCTTTCCCAGCAACTCCTGGGGCAAATAGGCAGAACTGGGTTTGAAGAGAGAGCCGGTCTGGCTGAGGGTGGTCACAACGGCACCTCCGTTCTAAAGGAAAGGTAGATTGGAAACCCTTTTAGCTGCAAACGTAGCGTTTCTGAAATAGTTACGGACTGATTCTAAACAAGTGAGGTATTTTCTTCTCAGTTACTTCAATTCCAAAGTTCTGTATAATGGACTTACTGAAATGTTCCTAACGAGGTTAACCCTGGCTACCCCAAGCACACAGGCAGCGCAGGGAACACGTAGCTGGTGCTTCCAGCGCCGGCATTTAAACGTGTCATTCTTACCTAGAAATGGCTTTCAGTTGGAACAACTGAAATACTTTAAAAGGGAATTTTCTGTATGCTTTCAAACCTGAAGACTACCTGTTAGAGAGATTGGCACCCAGGGGACTGGAAAAGAAGCAGAAGGAGTTGACCTCCTATAGCGAAAAGTTTAACCGTTTTTTTTTTTTAGGAACTGAAAGTTCTCATTAGTTCAAAAAAATCATAGAACAAAGTGTCATTACGGGTTATTTAATACCTCTAGCTCGGGAAGCACGAGTCATAAACCGGAGTTTGGCACGGTGATCGAGAAAAGCATTGTTATATATTTGACCTGTTCTTACTCTCTTCGGGTGACGTCAGAAACACTGATGAGATACTAACCCTCAACAGTCGCCCTCTGCTCACACTCCTTCGCTGAAGGAACAGTGTGATGGCAGATTCGTGGCTTTATGCTTATTGGCACGTAGCTTTAATTGCTGAGAACCTCGCACCCAAAGGCACAGACCGAACTCACCCAATCGTTCATCATCATCTTCCTTAGATTGTACACAAGCGTCAGCTCCTCTGGAGAAACCTGGTGAAGATCGTCTGTATCACTTTTTTTGCCAGCAGTCTCCATCTGAGACATAAATTCCCCTCCCCTACTTTAAATTAGACTGGAAGGATCGTTTGCATCATTTAGGCACATTTTTGTCTTTGCTTCGACTTAGCACTGTAGCGTTCAGCCTTAGTAATGTTACGTAGAGAAATGCCCCGACCTTTCCTACCGCAACAAGACACAGATGTGCTTTTTTCTTACTGAGAGAACTTTCTTCAGTAGAAGGGTCTAAACGCAGTATGAATTTTGCAGGTCCCTCCAAGCTAGCAAAGCCAAACGTACATCTTTCAGGGATTACTATAGAACTTAAAAATGAACAAAACACCCTCCCTGCTCTCCCTTGCAGTAGGAACGCAAGGAGGAAAGAATCCTTCTTACAGGGCTTTTGTCTTCCTTCTTCAACGTAGTCCTTCCCCAGAGCGCGTTGACGCCGTCCACTGCCACAAGAAGTCGGAATGAGCCGAGATGACATTGCTGCTTTATCTCTTTCAGCACAACCCCTACAGCATCACTGGCGTTCCTCACGCGAGCTAAACCCTTTAAGGAGGAAAAGGCACATAACTCGGGTTGGTTTTCTTGTTAAGATAAAATGCTGGCAACTTTGGGCACCGTCTGCCCTTTCTAAGGGGGAAGAGAGATAAAACGAGAGTCAACAGTCCGTTTGTTCCTTTCAAAGGAGCAATCTGGTCTAAGGTACTGAGCATCAAAGAAGTAGGAACTTTCAAATTCTAATTTTTGCTTCTACCCAAGCTCTCTGTACAGCTTCCTTTACAGATCCATCACATCTTCCACAACGTTTTTTGTAGCCACCTTGTCGATAGGGAAATGCCTTCCATTTCCTAGAACTGGTAAGATCTTCAGAAGCAATTTGTTCTACATACACAATAATAAAAGGTGAGACAAAGCCAGAAGCACTTGTTGTTCCTTACCTGCTCCACCACTTCACCCAGCGGTCTGCCCTCCTCCGTGCTTTCTCGTTTGCCCCACACGTATTTTTTTTGTGTTTTTATCTGCAGTAAGAGAACTACGATTAAACTGGGAACTCAGTAGTGCAAAGGTAGCTTGGCAAGTCTGGATGGCAAGGTTCCTGGTTCTTTGCCAGTGTTGTAGACTAGTGCAGAATCTGGGAGAAGCGTTCATCACAAATGGCCATCCCCACAGTGGGGATTTAAAGTACTTCTTTTTCTACAAAAACTGAATTCCAGTGAAGGCCAAGGTTTGTGGGCTTGTATGCAATACGAGTGCATGCGTTAATACATGAAGCGTTTCGTGAAAATGAGCAAATCTAGAATTCACGTCCAGGTGCTCAATGACAAGAAGCACGTGCACATGCAGTCCCTGAGAGATGATCCTGTGAGTAGTTCTTAGCTACTAACCAAAACAACCTGACAGGCTCTACAAACCTCTTTTAGGAAGCGCTCGTTTGAGGTTTTGAAGTTCTTGAGCCAGAAAGATGCTTGCAGAGGCTGATCAAGCCGTTCTTTGTTATAGGAAGACTGCATAAGCTCCCTGCAGTTTTTCACCCAGAGATGAGCTGTAAGCAAAAGAAAACCGTTGCTTTTTTTTTTTATAAAGTAATTTTAAAGTCAAAATAATTGTACGAGTTGGGTGGTGGGATGTGTGTTTGTATCTCTTATCCTTATTCTGCTACGCTGGTAAGAAAAGTCTGCCGTCCTTAATGGACAAGACTCTCCCCTGAGACCAGGGGAGGTCACACAGACCCACACACAGCATGTCTCCTGTCATGCTCGTTAACAGTGGGGGGGGGAAAAACTGACTATAAGCATGTGAGAGCATGTGAAAATAACTAATTATGTTCTACTTTATGTTGGGGGTTTGTGCTTTATAAGCCTTCTCCGCTACGGAAAAAACAAAGCTAATTTGCTGTGGCCTGCCCTACACCTTTCACTTGAAGGAGCATCTTCCGGATCAGCAAGTGTATTTGACGTAGTAACACAGGCAGCATCGGTGTTCTTACCGTCTGGGATGTGCAGCACCAGCCAGCCTTGCCTTGCACAGTAGTGAACCACGTGACACAGAGTCATGGTTTTCCCTGTTCCTTTCTCACCATCTCCAACACGGACTGTCAAGGAAAGTCTCTAAAAAAATCACTTCAATTTATACTTGACTGTAATTCTTTCGCAAAAGGCATAAAGGAAGTTCAGAGGTCGTAAAAGCAGGGATGGCATTCCATCATGCTTTT